CTATCCCATTTTGGGCCAACCTGGTTTTGCGCAGTTGCCGAGGCTCCCACTTGCAGTTGGGCTATTACCCATTTAACTGCTTTTGCCCTTATAAGGTTCACTTTTCAATCCCAATACCCACATTCGGACCTTTCCTTTTTCTATTATTTCCTTATTAGTTTATCCCTTACTTCCAACCGATGATCTAGAAGATTCGACCTTGGCTTGGTATTAGGTGCCTGGTGCCCTCGTCTCGTCTTGGTATATGATTTCATAGCACATGTCCTTTTCCTCCAATTTGGTTGGCTGGTCCTTCAGACATGCCTGGCATTTTTCTGTCTGACTAGTTTCTTGCCCGACTTCAATAGCCCCTGGTCTTGGTAGGTAGGGCCTCTACCACTAGTTTCCCATGCCAGCTGGCCAGGGTTGGTGTACTCCGTAACAGTCTCGCAGATTTTCAGCTTTTCTAAATTGGCGGTCAGGTTAGTAAATCCCCCACTAAAGAATCTTGTTGTCATTCGGTTCTCCAATCTTGGTTCTAATTTCCAAATTCGGGTCTTTTCTGTAACACTGTCAAAGATTGTAGTTATTCCTTACTTGGGTCTTCCCAAACAGGTTTCGATCATCCCGGTTTCTTGGCATTTCTGCGCCGAAGCTCCCATTTTAGATGGTGCAACCAAGATTACAGATTTCTAGATCTAACCGATCGATGGATAATCGTTACCTAATGCAAATCTATTTTTCAAAAAATGTCGTCCATGGGATTCGAACTCTAGACCTGCTACTTGGTGGGGTGATGACTAGACCACTTCACTAGGCCGCCACACCCTTAATAAATCAAAATTATGTAAGATTATGTATTTTATATTTATTAAAATTTAAATTTTAAAATGATTCAACTTATCAAAAATTCAAGAAATTTTTACAAGATCTTTATTAAATGTTAGAGAATAAAGATACGCTTTAGAATTTTCTATTCGTCCTATAAATTATTTAAATTTTATTAGTTAAAGTGAAGAAAATTAGACCTTAACTATACAAATTGAAATTTTTTGCAAACAATAGAATGTAATCTTTAGAAGTAACTTATTTGAAGAGTTTTTAGTTATAAAAAAAATAGAAAAAAAAGTGCGAATAAATCTTTTAGAATTTTAGACAAAGTAATATTGATACAATTACTAATCAGTGATTAAAATTTGATCATATGTACTATATCTATAAAATCATATAATTTGTGATTTCTTATTGGCTTGTTAATAGTTGATCATCACGTGAATATAAAAGAGTATGTCTAATTTTTTAACCATGCTCTAAACCCTACTAGAGGGTTTTGAGATCCTTGTTTGATACTAAAACTGGGTATTTCTAAGATGCTGTTCTAAAACAGATTTGGTTTGATTAAGTAATAGGAATATTTCTATTAAATTAGAGTTTGTTGGTATAGAGATTGTCAAATTTCAGTTTGTTATTTTGCTATTCTGGCCAGATAGAGTCATATGACTATTGTTATATTAAGAGTAATTGACAGATAGAGGTAAGCTGTTTTGCCCACTTTTTGAATAAGTATATGAAGCTAAGTAAGGGTTGGTATAGTGTGCTTTGAACTGTTTCTTTTAGTTATATTTAGAGTTAGTAGTGGTGTTACTACAGGTAGGTTTTTGGGATTGGGAGTTATATCTATTTGAGTGGTACTAAAGAGTAATTCAGTAACCGATTGGAGGATTAATTTGTGATATCAAAGTAGGTGATTTTATAAAGAGTAAAGAAAATAAGATGTAGCTTTTATTCATTCTCTAAGTTTTCTATCTTGTCTATTAAATTGTTTTTACTATTTCTAACTAGACTCTATATAATAGTTATACTATATAATATTTAAACTTTCTTTGTTTGTTTGTTTACTTTTTAATTTTTCTAATGATTTACAAATATATAGAAAGAGTTTTTTTCTATATAAATTTAATCTTATATAGTTCATTTCCTTTTTTATATACATTATTAGTATCTTCATATCAAATAAAAATCTAACAGTCAAATACTTGTTAATACTTGTGATTAAGTTGAACATTAAATGATTGCAAATTAACCAATAGTATATATTTAGCTTTGGTTAATCTGCAATCATTTAATATTCGATTTAAACATAAGTATTAATAAGTATTTAACTGTCAAATTTTTGTTTGATTATACCAAGTACTAGAATAGTCTTTAAGTTAAATTAGTTCTTGAAGTGTATTACGATTTGTTAAAAATATTGGTTTATATACTGTATAGTGTAATATAGTGTTTAAGCTTGTTAAAAATAATAATCGCTTTATTATATTTTCTTTATATATATGGGCTGCCGTCAATAGAAATAAGGCAAATTGACATTTTAAAAAAAATTAATCCCTTAACTTTCACAGCTCATATCTCGATGAATTTCAAGGCTATCTTAATGATTTATTATTCAAAGGAAAGCATACGATCTATGCTTTCTTTCGAATATTAAATTATCAAAATAGCCTCAAATTTTATCGAGAGATGGGCTGTGAAAGTTAAGGTATTAATTTTTTTAAAAATATCAATTTGCCTTATTTCTATTGACGGCAGCCCATATATATTTTTTGATTTATATATTTTCTTTTTGCATATATATAAAGTTTCGTTTCTTTGTAGTTTTTTATTAATAGTTAATGTCAATATTGTAATAAAGCTATGAATTTGATTGGTTAATAATCACGGGTAGATCTGCAAAAATTAACCAATCAGACGAACTTCTGCCTATGAGTCACACCCTCTTAACCAATTTATAGATATGACCTGAATTATGATATTCAGTTTCTTAATGCTGGCCAAAAAAAAATCGGGTACTTTTTTATCGTTAAATCCGGTTGATTATCATGTTTATCGGTATTAAATTATAAAATGGCGGTACATGCTTTTGACAGCTCTCACGACGATTTAATACACGACGTTTCCTATGACTTTTATGGTAAACGTCTTGCAACCTGCTCTTCAGACCAAAAACTTAAAGTATGGGAATTTAATCAAGATACTAGTGGTTGGGAACTTGTTGACTCTTGGAAAGTATGTTATCTCCGACGCAAATATTTGATTTGTAAAGTCAGGCGCTTTAAAAGTTAGCAATGTTAGCGATTATTCTATACTAATAGGCGCACGAATGCTCGGTTCTAAAAGTTTCTTGGGCGCATCCCGAATTTGGTCAAGTAATTGCATCCTGTTCTTTTGACCGTTCCGTACGTATCTGGGAAGAACAAGAACATGGTACGTTTCAATTAACCCTTCTCATAAAATGCTGTTAAATTTATGTTAAACAATATTAAACTTTTCTAATATACAGAGCCAAAAAATAGTGGTAAACGATGGGTGTTAAGGGGGAATTTGGTAGACAGTAGCGGATCTGTAAAAGATATTGAATTTGCGCCCAATAATTGGGGACTGAAATTAGTATGCATCATTTAAATCTTAATATTTAGTTAACTGTAAGATTTTAATATTATTAATTAATAGGCAACTGTTGCTGCTGATGGTGTGCTCAGAATATACGAAGCTCTCGAAGTGAATAATTTATCAGATTGGACTATGATGGAGGAAGTAGATATTACTAGCCCTGGAACCGTTAATAAAGAAGTTGATGGAAACTATTGCCTTTCTTGGTGTCCCTGGAAACCACAAGTATCACCAATGATCGTTGTTGGTTGTGGAAAAGAGAATTGTGCCAAAGTTTGTAATAAAAATTTCATTATATTAGTTTCAAAGTTATAAGTTGTCAAGTAAGAAAGAGACTTAAATAACGTTATGTTGGTTTTTAGATTTTCAGACCAAATCCACATAACAAATGGATACCATTTGAAGTCCTTCATGGACATGATGATGTTATTCATGATGTTAGTTGGGCGCCTAATATGGGAAGGTAAACTTATATTTTCTCACTACAAAATCTTTAAAGTTCAATTTTTATATTTTTATAATATTTCTGATTCATCAAGGAGTTATCACCTCATCGCAACCGCATCAAAAGATCATAAAGTTGGAATTTTTAAATTATCAAACAAACCGGATGGTTATTCCGTAGAAAATATCGCCATGCTTTCTGATCATGGTGTTGAGGTATGAACATTTTGTGAGTTATGAAAATTCATTATTACTATTACTGTATTGACCTAAATTTTTTTTAAGGTTTGGAAAGTCGAATGGAATATAACTGGTACTATTCTATCTTCATCCGGAGATGATGGAAAGGTTAGATTGTGGAAATGTAAGTTTCTTTATACGCTCTATTTTGAATAATTATTGTAATTTTTGCACAATTCGTGGCATATTTTTACAATGTTTTTGTAAATCATTTTTTAAGCCTCTCACAATGGTGAATGGAAATGTATGAGTGTTATTAGTTACGAGCGACAAACCGACAGTATGGAGATGTAATAACGGTTGCATCAATTTTCCATGTTATAATTAGCCATCGTTAGAATAATTAATACCAAGAATTAAATCGTGGCTAGAGTTAAAAGGTCTTAATCGTAATATCACCAAAGTTAACGGTAGATTATCCCGTTGTGTGTCACATGATTGTGTACTTCAAATTATTTGTACATGGGGTTTATGCTAAATTTGTTATATTCAATTTGCCTAAATTTTGGCATCTTTATAAATATTAATACTTATTTCGGGAAGTCAATAGAAATGGATAAGTTTTTTTTAAGTAAAATCTTTCAAACTTTAAAACGTTTTAGGGCTAACAAATATTGGTCGCGCAACCAAATTCAGCAGATCGACCAAAATTTCGATAAATTTTGTACGATTACTGATAAACCACTAACATAGTGCAGATTATATGGCCATAATCAAGATTTTTATATGGTGCGCCAAGTCACTTCTCATCAAAAATCATGTTTATATTAAAAAATCTATAAAATCTTTTTAAATATTTTTTAAAAATGTAACCGATAAAACCTATTGTTTTTTATATATTAGTACTATCCAAGTTATCAGTTAGAATTTTTTAAAAAGTTTATGATTTAAAGTTTTAAATTTTAAAGCTATTATGCTTTCAAAATTTTGGCGTTTAATATAAAAAATTTTAAGGGGTAGTTCGCAGTTGAAGGGTATAAATTACATAGTAAAAATCGGCGGAGATTTACTAATTGCCTTTACAGGTAGGACCGTCCCAAATATGGAAACTATGGTTTGACTCAGGACCGCTGATCTGCATATCGATTTGACCAATC